GAGAAACCGTTTGCAAACTTCTGTTTGATCATAAATCAAGGCCAGTAATGACCTTCTTTTTTTTTCTTTTCTTTTTTTTTGGTGAAAACAGCCCCAGTTTGCTGTTCCCAGACTCCAACACGGGCCTCGCTCGGAGCCCTGGAATTCCAGCAGGCTCCACTTCCATCAGGGCACCCGTGGCAGCTCCTGGAAGGTGAATCCCGACTGGCACCACTTTTTAAAGGGTGTTCTACGTGACCCTGGACAGGCTCCTTATCTCTCTGCCTTTCCATGGCTTTTCCAGGCCCTTTCCAGCTCTTTATTCCTGGTCCTGCTGGCTGCCCTTCCCTGTGGGATCTCTGCCCCCTCACACAGCTCAGGGAGAAGCCAAGAGCAATGGGAATTCATTGGGAAGTGCTGCTGGAAGGGGCAGGTTGGGTCAGATCCAAAGCAGGTCCTGCAAAGAAAACATTCCACTTCAAGCTTTCTCCCTGCCCTGAAACCAGCCTGGTTCAGGCACCCAACTCCTTCTTGCTCTGCATCACACCCCCATACATCCCAAATATTGAAGGGTTGGGGGGGTCTTAAATCCAGTGTAGGGGAGCCCCAGGAACCAGGTTGGGGTGGGAGGATCCCTCCTGAGGAGCAGGCTGGGAAACTGCGTGGCAAAAGGGAGAATTTTTATCCAAGGAACACTCCCAAACATCAGTGGCACAGAGGGGAACCTCCTTCCCAGCCCAGAGGGGCAAATCCAGCGTGTCTGAAGCCCTCTGGGTTTAGGGAGCTGCTGGAATAATCACCTGAAACGTTCCCTCTGGGCAAACACCATAAAAACCCGGGACCCCACGGTCTCCAGATCTTTCCACCCTCCAGTTGGATGACATTCCACCAGCGGGCTGGGTACATTTCCAAGGAACTCCTGACTTCTGGGAAGGTGTTACACAACCACACTGCAGCCATTCATGAGTTCAGCACTGGCCTGGTTCCCCCCTTCAAACCCACAACACTCCGCAAAGAAAACATTCTTTCCACTTCAAGCTTTCTCCCTGCCCTGATGGAACCAGCCCGGTTCAGGCACCCAACTCCTTCTTGCTCTGCATCACCCCTCCTCAGACATCCCAAATTTTGAAGGGTTCCCATGTTGGAAGCAAATAAAATGTTTGGTTTCCCTCGGCTCTAGATCTGGTTTGGTTTTTCAGGCAAGAAATGAAGTTGATATTACCAGACATCCCTGTAGCTGCTGCAGGGAAAGGATAAAATTCCTCGCACTCCTTGTTTTCTAAACTTTTAATATTTCCAACGAGAAGAGGGGGAATTCTTGTGTTTAACATCAAAAGGAGCTGAGAACTGAAAGCCAGAGGGGGAAAATTCTGGAGAGCTGGAGGCCAGAACATTCAGTGGTTTGTATTCCAGACCTTTCCCTGGATGCAGGTGTTTAGTCCAGCAGGAACCTGAACCCCTCCTGTAAGTCCTGGAGCCACATTCTAAGGCCAAACACACCTTGCACCTTCAGATCAACCCCCAGATCCAACCCCAAATGTTGGGTTCCTGACATCACTCCATTTTTAAGGCAAGTGCCAAATAAACAGACTTCTCCCACAGCAGGAAGAAGGATTTGCTTGGAAGGATTTACTTTAGATACAGAGAATCCGTGTTATTCTTAAACAAAAAAAAAAAAGGCAAAGAAAAAGCCAGGGGTGGGACTGAAAAAAAAAATACTGGGATTTTTCAAGTGGTTTGTTCTGTTCTGACACAAAAAAAAAATTCCAAGCAGGGGTGCTTTGAGGAGAAATCAAGCTGCCACCACCTCAGGGGTGACGCTGCCAACGCTCCAAGGATTCCTAAATTTCGAGGAGACACCTGAAAACTCACCACTTTTCCTTTTTTCCCCCACCAACCTGAGGAAGTTCAGACACACCCCGAGCCCTTTGTGAAGGCCTGGCTTTTCCATTATGCTCAATCACCTCCATCTGCCCAGGAGAAGTGCCAGGAATTCGACCAAACATGGAAAACTGAGACCTTCAACATGTTGTTTTTATGCTCAGATACAACAACATCTGGTTTGGAGAGATCCCATTTAAAGAAACGTCGATGCCCCTTTAGAAAATGAGTGATTTTTAGCAAATCTCCTCCTTCCAGATTTAATAGGTCACAGATACTCTCAAATATCTTCCTGAATATACCCGTGGATTCCAGAGAATTTGGTTTTTTGCTGGGATTTTAGAAACTCTGCCTTTTTCTAGTGCTCCTTAACTTTTGGGGCCAGTTAAAGAGGAGTAGATCACTTCATGGGGTACTTCTGCAACCTTAAAAACCTGCCTAAAGCCACAAGTTCTGTTCATAAAACAACAATTCCCCCCATTAATTCCTTGAATCCAGACCCTGTGCTAATGTGGCCTTGTTTGGGATGAACACACACTTCAGCTGTTTTCAAGGAAGGGGAGTTAGGGAGGATTTAAACACATTTCTGAGGGGAAAGATTTCGAATTTTATACCAACATACCGTGTTTTTAATTATTATTTTCATATTAAATATTTATAATAACAGCTTAACACTAAGAATCCATATTAAACTACGTTTTAAGAGGTTTATTGGCTTTTTGGTGCTTAGTGAAACAGCGAGTTCCATTTCCTGGCTTTCATATATTGATGTTATCTTTTAATGTCCCTCATCACCTTCATTTCCAAGGACCTTTTCCATTCCAGATCACTGGAGAAATGTCAAAATCTTCTCCTCCCTTTCCTTCCCTTCTCCAAGTGACATCTCCATGCCTTGTTTTGGGAACACTTTATGCAGCCACAGCTGAACCTGCAGGTGAATTAGTTCAAACAGAATTATCCCAGGAAAATTCTTTGACCAGGAATCAAAGCTTTTTTTTTTCCCTGAGTTTTCTCTACTTCACTGCTCATACACCTGAAATCAAGGCTGGATTTGCATTTCCCATTGCACTTCAATTCTGGCACCTTCAAGAAATTCTTCAATTTCCAGAATAATTCTTAAATTTCCAGGATAATTCTTCAATTTCCAGGATGACACCTCCCTGAGGTGTTTTTAGCTGGTGAAAAAAGGGCTTTTTTTACATTACAGGCCTTTGTAATAACGACCACTTGGCATCACAGTACTTGAGATCTTTTCAAAACCACCTGCCAAGAAACACAAGTGTTAAAACTGAAGTCTATAAACTTATAAATTTTAAAAATAGGGGTTTTTCCCCCCAGTTTTCCCCAGGACAACCCTTTCTTCCCAGCGCTCTCATCCCAGTCCCATCCCTGCTGTGCTGGAATTCCATCCTTACTGACATTAAGGATTAATAAACTGCAGATCCTTAAATTAATAAACTGCATTATAATCCAGAGCATCTCAGGGCCGGGCCTTTTAATCCCAGGAGAGCCCAATAAACCCCTCAGGATTTATTCCAAAGGATTTGATGCTCCCCTTGTTCCACGGAGGCGTTTTTTGGGAGCTGGGCTTGTTTTCTGGGAGCTGGGCCTGTTTTTTGGGAACTGGGCTCATTTTTTGGGAGCTGGGCCCGTTTTTGGGAGCTGGGCTCATTTTCTGGGAGCTGGGCCCGTTTTCTGGGAGTTGGGCCCATTTTTTGGGAGCTGGACCCGTTTTTTGGGAGCTGGGCCCATTTTTTGGGAGCTGGGCCTGTTTTTTGGGAGCTGGGCTCATTTTCTGGGAGCTGGGCTTGTTTTTTGGGAGCTGGGCTTGTTTTTTGGGAGCTAGGCTTGTTTTTTGGGAGCTGGGCCCTCAGGGCATCTGCCTCATTAACTGCTAATTAGCGAAGATTTAGCAGAATAAACAAAAATCCCTCCCTGAGCCCCTTTTCCACAGGCCCAGCCCTGCAGGATTTGCTGCTCCAGAGGCTTGGGATGGAATAAAACCCCAGCCAGGCCCAGCTCTCCCTGTCCCGCCACCGCCATTCCAAGGGGGAAAAAAACCCAGGAAGAGATGATGAAATTCTGGGAAAAGCTCCATTTTCGTCTTTATTAGCACATTTTCCAAGGCCTGGGGAGCTTTTCAGGGATTACAGGGGGATGAAGGAAGCTCTGGGAATGTTGGGATGGCGGCAAATATTCCCAAACAAAAGGCCAATGTGTGTTGCTACGATCCCAAGTCAAGCTGTTCTTTGGATTGTTGTAGTATTTTTTTCCCCGGCTCCTTTTTAGCTTTCCTTCTGTGTCCCTCTCGTGGTAACTGAGCAGAAGTGTCTCATCTGCAGTGGAATAACTTAATTCACAGCCTTCCAACCATTTTTTCCCTGCACTTTCAGTGCTTTTTTTGTTTTGTTTTGTTTTTAAATAATAAAATAG